CTCCTCACTGCATGACAGCTGCCCACCTTCAGCAGACCTCCTCATTCCTGCAGCACGAGGACTTTATGACTGTTTATGAGTGTCAAAAGTGGCGGATTTATTTGCCGAAATATCTGACTGAGTGTCACCACATCCCTAAGGACTGTTTGGCAAAATATTTGACTGCATGTCACTGCATATCAAACGACTGAAACGATATAACTAGAGAAATCTCCACTGTGCTGCCGAGTGAGAGCGCTTCTCACTAAACAGCGCAACAGCGATGACGTAAGCGTGACGAGGCCCGATTGTGGTGTGAGTGCGGGCCGTCGGGGGAGACGGGAGAGGGGACAAGCGTGCTTTGGCCCGGTTCGAGGCAACTGTACCTAGTGTGAGTACGGCCTTAATTGGATGAATTTAAAAGCTAGTGAGAATGACTCCCTAAAATTTGGGAATTGTCAAATAGACAAAACAAGCCTTTGTAAAATAGAATGCCTGTGGATTTGCATGTGCTGATCCCCAAACACCCAATTTAAGCTAATTCTTTCTTCTCTTTTGCTTTGGCAGAGGAGCAGGGACTGGCCCTGATTACTTCCCTTCTAAAACATTAACCTCCTGAGTATGTCGAATTGCTAAGAGGAAAAATACTGCAATTAATGCATCTTCTAGATCTTCCCTTAGATGCTCGATGCCCAGGAAGCTCGGACATTGTTTATGCCTATCATCCAGATCAGCTCTTGGCAAGATTAACACTGTGCAGACATCCTGGAATCAGGTAGGTAGTGGAAGTTCCAAAAACCTTTATCCTTCTTTATCTCTTTATTTTTAGTTACAGATTACATCATTATCGGTGGCTTGAAAAAAAAGCATGCTCACCCAACATGCATTTGTTTCACAGGGATACAGCTTATGGAACTTTGTCCCAGTTAGTTGCGCTCACACTGCTGTAGGTTGAAACATCTAAAAAGAGGAAATAATGACATGTATTTAATGTATTTATAGACAGACACATCATTAAGGTCACAGGTGTGACAACTTTTTTATTAGTTTCTCAACATTGAGAAGGACTTGACGATTTGCCATTCTGTAATGCCCTCTGGCTGTCTATAGCCAAGGAAATAGAACACAATTTATTCCAGCCTGACTAATAAATGGTAATTTAGTCTATTTAGCAAACAACACAATTGCAATTTCTGTCATTGTGTCACTGCCAAAAACTTATATCATTATATGTACATTAATGTTGTGGTAAGATTAACATTGCCCATCCTGTTGCAGGTCTGATTGGCTGGTGGCATATTTTCTGCCCTATTACCAATCAGTGGGGAAAGGTATAAAACAGTAGGGAGGATGTTATGAGTCACATGTCCTGCCCTTCCGACTTTGTTACATCCTACTGCATTACATTTACTCGCCGACAGGTATGTGGTTTGCGGCGGGTTTTTTGGGGGGGTTTTTTTGTATTAGCCTATCGTATCTTACATCAGTATGATTTTGTTTAACATGACATCTTTTGTGGAAACCCAAGTTTTGGCTTGTGTCTAAGGCTGCCCCTTTGAAAGTAACTTCACTACCTTGTTCCTTGTTCACTACCTTGTTTGAAGCGTGCAGGTATTAAAGTGGCGATTCTTTCCATTATCCCCCGCAGCCAGCAGTAAAAGTGTGTTTCACTCAGGCATAACAAGTCAGCTGTATTATGCAACGAATTTATGAGTTTGTAGACAGTCCATCACATTATCATATGGGATTTAGTATGGTGTCAGGGAACACATACAAATAGTGCAGGATAATCACCATTTTATTTTTTAATAAAATCTTAAATAATCTTAAATAAAATATAAAAAATAAAACTGAAATAATTAATGATTTCTTGTGCGACCCGGTACCAATTGATCGATGGACCATGGTTCACAACTCGGCGGTTAAGGACTACTGCTTTAATTTATAATAGTCCTTTAAACACATCCATCTCTTCATGTTATGTTCTTTGCATGTGGTAAAAACTAAAAAGACAACTCACAGTTTCAGCTGTGCCTCTTCACTCATTCATTGTTATTAGTAAGAGTTACAGAGGTAAAATTCTATGTATACTAAAGGTGGCTAATTTGTACTATTCTTATAAGTACTATTCTTAAGGCCGATTTATACTTCTGCGTCAAGCGCACGTGGATGCTACGGTGCAGTCAACGCATGGATGCATAACCCGTGGCCATTGGCATCACTGACACACACCTCTCAAAGAATTTAACTACACGTCGCAACGACAAGTGGCTCAAAGTCACTGCTTTAACCATGACGTAAACACAAAACAAAACGTTCCATCCAGAGCTCCTTCACAGGACTCGATACTTGTAAACAATCACTCCATCTGGCTCACATGGCTCTCTTTCCCGCCCACACTCTTCAGCGCTACCATGCCAACCATTCCCAAAGCTTGCGCTACGCCATACCTGATAACACTCCCATATTTCAGACCCCCCACCCCATCTCACGCAACCATCCTTGTTTATACTGCGTCGAGTGTTGTCGTTGCTGCGTGTCAGCAATGCCGACAGCCACGACAAGGACTATGCATCTATGCGTAGGCAGTGCCATAGCATAAGCGTATGCTTGATGCAGAAGTATAAATAGTGCTTTGGGTGCACCTACTGGAAAAGATCATAAGAATGAGCTTACCAGACTCACGTGACATAAACTGACCAAACAGCTTCATGTTTTGTATGGAATATACACATTTCAGTAGACTAATTACTTCAGACAAACACAGAACATGTTCTATATCCCTTACAAAATTAGCGATGTTTTTTCTACAAATGTGTAATTTATTGTATAATGTGTTGCAAGAACCAAAACTTTTTACTTTTTTTATTTTGAAAAAAAAAAAAACAATAAAAATCATGAGGAACACATTAAATAGTGTTTATTGTATTGTCTGCAATAAAACAGACATCAAAGTAAATTCAGAAATAGCTACTTTCTTTTTTTATTTGTGTTTTTCATACTGTCCCATCTTTTTCTGATTGGGATAATAGTTAAACCATGTTAATCACAAATTCACATATACACTAAGCCTATTTCAATTGGTATAGTAAAATTGTGGCACAAATGGTAACCAAAACACCAACAAACAAACAAACAAACAAACAAACAACAACAACCAAAATAGTTACTACAATCCTACTATTATAAGTCAATGCACATTCATATCAACAAGTTAACCCTAACCCTCCCTGCCTTTATCTTGTCAGTTTTTACAGTGGAAAGTGTTTCCTCCTTGTCAAAGTCCATCTTTCAATCTAATCTACTGTATAGCTAATCAGAAAACATGACACAAGTAAAGACTACTTTGCCTAAAGGTTAGAAATCATAAATAAATTGTTACAATTTAAAATAAAACCTTTTTAATAACTAGTAGTTAGTATAACAGAAGTTTAATCAAACAAGACATAGTGAAAAAGCATTCATTCATTCATCTTCGGCTTAGTCCTTTTATTAATCAGGGGTCGCCAAAGCGGATTGAACCGTCAAATTATCCAGCATATGTTTTACACAATGGATGCCCTTCCAGCTGCAACCCAGAACTGGGAAACACCCATACACTACAGTCAATTTAGTTTATTCAATTCACCTACACCGCATGTCATTGGACATTTGGGGAAACTAAAGCACCTGGAGGAAACCCAAACATAAGTCCAAACATTCGAGAAAACTATCAAATTACTAAATTTGATGATTATAATTATAATTTGATTATAAATGATTATAATTTGAGGATTTGTAATAAATTCAATTGTATTTAAAGTGGAAACCATGATCTTTTGTGATTGTTTCTAATTTATGTCTAGAGCATTGATGTAGGCTGCCTGTGGTTGCGACAAAAGCAGTTTGAAAAGGTAAGGAAAAATGCTGTTTAAGTAGGCTGTTAGCACGCGTCAGGGATGTTATGTAAAAATGCTGTCTATGTAGGTTGCTAGAAAGGATTTGAAGCACAACCGGTGTGTGGCGTTGAGCGGGTTCCCGCACACAGGAAGGGGAGAGAGCTGTTAGCTAGCAGCAGGCAGCACGCAACTGTAAACAACTCACTTTTACAAACATCACTAATTAAACTTACCTTACGCTGACTTGATTATCCACTTGCATGGCATTTAAAAGGCTGCTTTAAAATTCGTGCTTTGTATTAGACCCGTAGAATCTTGAGTTATTACCGCAAGTTTGCGTTATTTACAGAGCAGGATGCAAGCAGCTAGAGAAGCGCGCTCCCGACTGCACAGCTAAAGCTTCTGTCAATACGAACCGCTTTGCTTTCCTTATAGAGACTGTATTTTCTGCCTCAACAAGTAATAAACACGGTAGAAATGCCAGGTTATGTTTTACGGAGGGAAATATGATTAATTTGACTGGAAGCTATGTTTTTAAATGTTTTATTAGCACATCGGAGGTTTGTTTTCTCAGTTAGCATATAAGCTAAAGCTAACTTTTTGACATCATCGTACAAAAAAGCTTGTAACTCCCGAAATTTTTGTTTGTGTATTCATACGTGACGCTCGAAAAAAATGTGCCCTGCATGTTTAAGACATATTCTCCGATAATTCTTTAGTTAAACTAATTTATGCTAGGCTGACAGGCTATGGGACTGTAGCAAGGTAACGTTAGGTTTGACTGGCTTAACAAAAAGAGTGTAGAAATGTCAATTACAGTATTACGATGTTAAAATGCTTAGAAACGGTCTCAGATCGACTGGTGCTATGGAACTTCCACGAAGGATCAGTACAATGCAGATGAAGGTGCGGAACATCAAAACTGATGGAAACCAACAACAGCTGAGATGAATTAACCAGAAATCAAATGGTGATTATTATTTTTATTTGTATTTAGCATCCCTGTAATTTAGAGTTTTTTAGATCTTGAATTTAACATTATTATTTGCCATGCTGTTATGTTTGATGATTATTTCTTATGGAAATTTTATATTATGTATAAATAATTTGGTTTATTTCTCCCTTTTTAGAAAGCCTTCAGTCATGGGTGATATGAAGACCCCTGATTTTGATGATCTCTTGGCTGCCTTTGACATCCCTGATGCAACCAGTCTGGATGCCAAAGAGGCCATTCATGGGAATCAGGATGAAGGAGATGGACACCTAAAACACTCAGAGATGTGTATGGATACTACAGTTTCAATCCCTCATCCAGTGCCCACAGCCGATGCCCCTGCTGTCAGTGTTATAGTGAAAAACACCAGCCGCCAGAATTCTTATGAAAACCTTGTGGAGAAGGAGAGCCCTCATTTGGGGCACCTTTTACAGAATGGCTTCAAAAGTTCTGTGGGTTCACTGGAGACGCATCCCTCCAGCTATCCAAGGTTGGATAGCTCTTCTGTCAATGGAGAAAATTTTAATCATTCCTTGGAAAAGACCCCTGTCCTCTACAAGCCTGAAAAAGGTCCCACTTTGTCAGAATCTGTGTCTCAGTTTAGTCCTATTTCTAGCCCAGAATCTGAAGATATTCAGAGCAATGGAATCGATGACTGTCCAAAATCTGCAGAGACTTCATACTTCCCATCTGATTCACTTTTTACATCACCGACAGTTACTGTTTTAGACTATCTTGAAAAAGCAGATGTACCAGACTCGGGATGCAATTATAGTCACTGCGGTTCAAAAGGTGTGGATGATCTCGAGTCTGATAGTTCATCTTTCAAAGATGACCTGGTTGGCAAAAATGCTGATTCCGCAACTAAGAGTGACTGCAGCCAAGACTGTAGAACAAATACATATCCAACCCTAGAGACAAATTCTCCTTCCCGTCCATGCGCCAAAGCTCATACATCCAGATTATCTTCTTGTATTGATGCTTTAGCAGCCCTAAATCCTAAAAAAGATTCAGGTGGGCATATTAATTCAAAGGACATTCCAGTTACCCCTAAAGAGACAGTGAAAATTAGTCAAAAAATACCCATATCCCCAAGGAGCCCAAAAAGTCCTCTGGAGGTGGTGAAACGCTTCACGAAGCAGCCTGACAGCCCAATGAGTATTTGCAGTGACAGCAGTGGTAAAGCATCTCCAGCTGTCGCTACTGGCTCGCCTCCAGCCATTCCACGAGTCAGAATAAAGACAATCAAAACCTCATCTGGAGAAATCAAACGCACCGTCACAAGCATATTACCAGACTCTGAAACCGAAGATCTGATGTCACCCTTTGGGTCATCACCATCTCAGTCCTCAGTTGAAGAGGCCTTCTCGAAAACGTTACCCCCGAATCATTCAACTGATATTATTTCAGAGGTAATTTTTGAAGATGGAAGTCAGGAGGCTTCAAAGATGGCTTCATCAGGCAGCACAAAATCAGTGAGGAGCTCAAAGTCACCTCAAATCCAAAATATTGGTCATGCTTTGAAGACAACAGAAGGTGGAACCCAGCAAAGGAAGGCCACTTCTGCTCAGATTGGTTCTTCTGCCAACACAAACTACCTTCCGAAGGCATTACACCTAGCAAACCTAAATCTAGTCCCACATAGCGTGGCTGCTTCGGTTACAGCAAGATCTTGCACAAACAGACAGGAGCCCTCTCAGTTATCATCATCAATGGTGTGTAGTTCAGTACCATTGGTGCATCAAGTTAAAAAAGTCTCCCCAAACACACGAGCTGTTGTTCCAAATACTGCAGCCGGAACCTTAAATAGACTGTTGAATTATTCAAACCCAGTGCCAACATATGTTCCCAACCTTAGTCCACCACCCGGCACCAACATCAAGCTCCCAACACAAGGTTATTGCTGCCTAGAGTGCGGAGACTCATTTGGGCTGGAAAAGAGTCTTTCTTACCATTACAGTCGCAGGAGTGTGCATATTGAAGTCGCATGCACCCACTGCTCCAAAACGTTGGTGTTTTTTAACAGATGTGCCCTTCTGGCACATGCTCGAGATCACAAGAACAAAGGAATGGTAATGCAGTGCACTCAGTTGTTTATGAAGCCCATCGCTGTTGACCAGATGTTGGTGCCCACCAAGACTAGTCTGCAGTCTGCAATTCAGATACCTTGTGGGAACACCACCACAGAGCCGTCCAAAGGCCAAGTGGTCTTGCCACTTTATCCTGACAATGTTATCAGAAATGGATCTAAATGTCTGGAATGTAATAAACAAATATCAGACTATACAGCACTTGCAAGACACTATCAAAAATCGTCAGAGGATGAAGGACTGGTGAGTGAAATTATTTAGCTACTGCTTACTAAAAATAGTTACATTACATCTACATACAAAAAAATAAAGAATTTATTCCCCTGTATATTTTGAAAAGATTGTGTTTCCAAAATGATCCCTGTTCACACGGATCTAAGAGGACAACAGAACATACTGTTATGGATTATGCTAGGCTAATACTCTGTGATTTCTATTGATTTCTTGAGCAGTACAAATACAGTCCTGTAGTTCTCCATTGTTGTTTTTGTCATCAAGATCTTGCACATGTCCATGGACTGAGCATACATATAATCATTACACACATAATAATTCTGACTTCAACTGTACTTCAAGTGTCACAAGCCTGAAATACAAATAAACTCTCTTTCAACTCTCAGGAGGTTTTCAGATATTTAAAACAGAATACATTTTATTGTGATCACTTGTACTTTTATACAAATGAATACAGGTCATAATCAATATTATTATTATTATTTATTATACTAAATAACAATGTATGATAATTATTTAATCTTGACATTTTTACAAAATAATATTGAAACATTTCATATAGGGTATAGAATAGGTATGTTATATACATATATTTCAATTACATTATTTATATATACTAATATTAGTCTGCATGATATCTGAAAAATGTGACGTATATCTTTTTCCTTGATTAAAAATTGCAAAATGAATTCACCAGAAGGCTTTAATAGCTCTATATTTGGAAAGAATTCACTATGGGGTTATTTTGTAGAAGAGTGAATAATGCAAAAAATATTATATTCAATTACAAAAATACAACAGAACAAACATACAAATTAAATATATATATATATATATATATATAAGGTTCTCAAGTGAGCCTAACAGTGTTAGATACAGAAAAAGAATAATCAAATTAGGTCAAATTAGACTGCATAGTCTTCATTGTTTAAATACCTTAATAAAATGTATCTTTATTAACGTTATAAATGGTACAATTTCTTGTACCTGGATGCTTTAAACTCTTAAAATGCTGGAGTTTCTGTAGGCAATCAAAAAAAAAAATCCTAAAAGAGCTAATAATATAGCATTTAAAAGTATTTAAAAATATATATATGGCTTTCTCCAGAAGAAAAAATAAAATGGAAAAAATAGATTGCTTTGTTAAATATGAGAAATAAACACACACTCACACAATCTACTTTATTCACTCATTTTTAAATAACCACTAAAAATGGGAAGTTTCTTCTTTTACTCCATTACCCTTACCTGATGGTCATTTTTGAACATGTTTTTTTTTCAAAATGCGGACATTTCGAAGAGCTTGCCGACGTGTTTTAACTCCCTTAAGGCCCAAGGTGTTTTTTACATGCATTTTTTATTTCCCTTTGCTATTTGGGCTTCTTGGAACCTAATTAGAATAAAAACCTAAATATCATCTTTTGAGATTATGTACTTTTAGAAAAAAATGATGTCCATATATGTGGATTTGTGGTCCGAATTTCCATAAAACACTTTTTCCTGACTGTTTTTTTAATGTATGTTTAACATAGAAACTTTTTTTAACATGTTTTGACTGTCAGAGAGAGAAAACTATGTATTGTTTCCCATTTTGGACAGTTAAAAGTAGTGTTTGGGACATTTTATATGCTGCAAAACAGTTGCAGGATGACACTGTATGTCTGCAACAAAATATAAAACATTTAAAGTATTTTAAATAGCTACTTAAGAGCTAAAATGTGCTTTCCACATATGTGGCCCCTAAGCCCTAGGAGGTTAAAGTACATTAATTGGTTTGTTATTGGTCAACCGCACTTTATTGATCTTTATATATTTCTCTTTTTAAATGCAGATCTGCAAGGTTTGCTCAATGCTGCTACCCAACAAGTGCAGCTACAGGGCCCATCAGCGCATTCATACACACAAATCCCCTTATTGCTGTCCTGAATGTGGTGCACTCAGTCGCTCAGTGGACATCCAGAAGCATGTGAAGGAGAATTGTCTTCACTATACCCGTAAAATTGGGTACTCGTAAGTACTTTGAACTGTGACCTGTAGACCAATGGACTTCCACTTTGAGACTATGAAGGTCTTTTGTGTCGTCTCTTGCTCTTTCTGGTTCACTCAAATGCAATTTCTTTCAGGTGTCTGCATTGTGAAATGCTTTTCATGTCACTGTCCCACTTGAAGAGTCACATTGAGGAGAAGCATTGTGAGGTCTTTTATAAGTGCACAACCTGTCCTGTAGCCTTCAAATCTTATGATGGCTGTCTGATGCATGTGAAAAACAAGCATGGTGGCAGCGAACCCAACCATCAGTAAGTGCATCTATTGATCTGTTATAGCGTACATTTCACTGTGTTCCTAGAATTGTGTTGAGTTAGTTACTTGATGTTCATTCTGTGCAGGGTGATCTACAAGTGCTCTTGCGAAACGGTCTTTAAACGGAGGCAATTATTATACCAACATTTTCATAATCGCATATGTGTCTTCAAGTGTCCCGAGTGCACTTCGCTCTTCCCAGAGAAACTGCCTTTGGTGCAACATTTCAAGGTGCGTTGATGCTTTTAATGTGGATATTTATTGGGAATATTTCTGTGCACATATTGTCTGGCACTATAGAGACATTTGCATTTTGGACGTTTAGCAGGTGTTCATAAGCAATGTAACTTTAAAGACCAGATCACCAGATGGGAAGCGTACAGTTTAGAGCTCAACGCTTCGAATTGCGTACTTCATGTATGCTCGCAAATAATTTGAATAAACTTCCATATTTTTAATTGTCACTTTTTTATCACCTGACGTGTGCTGTGACCTTTTTAATTCTTTTTTGAAATATTTATATATATATATATATATATATATATATTTTTTTTTTTTTTTTTTTGTATTTCTCAAGTGCTGTTTTACAAATAGATGTTTATTTCAGATTTTAAACATGCAGTTTTAATGACTAATTTCTAGGCCTAATTCCAATTCTACCGCTTAGCCCTTCCCCTTCCCCCTACCCCTCGTTCTCCCCTTCGAATGGAGATTTTTCAGGACCACACTCGAAACCAAGGAGTTAAAAAATTTCCCAGAGTAGACCATCTACAATGGCAAAATGGTTGCACACAGAAGTCAGGAGATGCACAAATTAGTTTTTTTAATCGTTTTGAATTTTTTCAACAAACAAGCACTTGTTTTAATACATTCATAATGGTATTCATGTTTTACCGTCACGCTTTTTAAAAAAACTATTAAAAAAAATGACATTTCGCTATTTAAAATAATAACTTCTGTATAGACCCACAACATCATTTAACATCTGGCACTCGAATACCCTGTCAGAAAAGTGTAGTGGCTGGGAATGACCTCTTTACAGTGTCTTGTATAATGTTAATGTTGTTTTTGTGCTTTTACGTAGATGAAAATGGCCACTGTGTAAATGCACAGTACAGTTATGAGCTTATTGCCACATTGGATCGTTATGATAACATGATATATGCCTTCAGTGATTTCCTGAAGATAAATACGAAAGAATGACCGCAACTGGAATAACTACAGCAGTCACCATCTTCGATCTTGTATGAAATAAGAGACTGCGATGACATATGATGAAGTGTGCAGGTGTTGTAGTGGTGTCCCATTTTTTAGGGGTAAAATGTGAAGCACGTCCCCTTCACACCGTTTCAAGGGCGAAGGGGAAGGGGTATAAAAATGAAATTGGCTTTGGGCCCTGGTAATGAATTTTTTTGTCCATTAGGGCAGTATGTAACATTTTTCTAGTTGTTTCACAAGTTACTAATTTTCAGCCCAAAGTGTAGTTTAATGGCTTAATCACTGTATGTAAGTTGGGTTAATTAGACAAGCCAAAAACAGTAGTTTGTCTTTTTGCCAACCAAAAACTATTAATTTCTCAAGGTGGGTAAAAATATTGACATTTAAAGTAAAAAAAGAAGAGATGTTTATATTCCAGAAACCCCCCCAAAAAAAAAACTTTCTCTAGAAGAAAAATATAATTATTGAAACTTCTTGCTTGGTTAAATATCACTTGGAAAAATTTTGAAAAGAAATTGTTATATTTGTAATACATTTTTGAAAATCACTTATACAAGGTTATGCCACATGGATCAAATGTTTGCATAGCATTCTGGATGTGATGTACAGTCGCACACAGAATCTGCCCCCATAGAAATTCACAGATTTTTGAGCACATTATTTACATTTGTGTAAAGTAACAATTACTCAAATTACTGTAATTGCGTAGTTTTTTTCAGGAAAAAAGTAATTTTCCTTGAGTACATTTTAGTGCTGTTTCGGTACTTTTGCTCCACTACTTTTCTTCAACCGGCAGTTACTACTTTTTTTTCTTATCTATGGGGATTGGCTGAGTAGAAAAATTTGTCCTGTGATTCCTGTCATATCAGATCTCACATAGAAACTAAACTAAATCGCATCATACTGAACAACCTCAAGTCATGGGTGCTTTATAAAGGCAGCATACCGCTTGGAAGCTTTAAAGTGTCCTAAAAGATGTTCAAAATCTTTGCATGCAATAATGGAGAGTTTAGTCTCTATTTATTTACTTGAACATATTCACATTTTATATTCATTTTAATTCACGTCAATGTTTATAAAGCGTTTTTAAAAATCAGCAAGCGTTTACCAAAGGGCTGTAGAAGTATGCACCATCTAAAATGAAAGACAAATAAAACAGATAAGACTCTCATATGGTATTAAAAGCCAAAGCGTAGAAATGAGTTTTAAGGCTAGATTTAAAAACAGAAAGGGTTTTGGCCTGCCTAGCATGGAGAGGGGAATTATTCCAAAGTAAAAAGCACAGTCCCCTCTGGTGTTTACCTTGTGCGTGGAACAGCATAAAGCAACTGATCAGTACATCTAAGTGCCCTTAATGGAGTGTGCAATTGAATTAACACAGAAGGGTATCTTAGTGCTAGTCCTTTTAGGGAATTAAACATAGAGACCTAATTTTTTAAATGTACTGCAAAATTAGCAGGAAGCCGTGACTAATACCCACACACAGGGTGTTTAATTTTAGTATTATTGTTGAATATTATGCAGATGTTTTGATGATTTGTCTAAAATACAATTAGTTAATTAATCCTTTCTGTTTTTAGTGGATGTGTTACAAGAGAGCTACTTTAGTTTTCTTACTGGTGGTTCTAATCAGATTTGAATTGTAAACTTTAAATAAAAGTTAAGGAGGTATTTTTTTTTTAGTATTTTCAGCTTCTAAACACCTTTTTTCTCCACATTTATTCCACATGAACCACATGAAGAAATTCTGCTCAGAAATAGCAAAAAAAAGTCTGTATAATCTGTCTGGCCCTGCTGATGCATGAGTTTGATAGCATGATTTGTATTGCATTTATTCAAGAAGTCTACAAGATGAGATAGGGGGAGAGGTGCAAATGGCAGGTGGTCATTCAGAATGATCCTGAGGTTCTTTAGAGTTTTCTTTTTCGCCAGGTTATTACAATCACTTTTTAACAACAGATGATATCTGTAAATCCTGCTGTTTTAATTTGAGGCTTACATTTAAACAAATGTTATTGTCTATGAAACTGTCTTGTCATTTGATGCAATCTGTTTAGATAGCAGAAAGGAATAATAAATAAAAAAGGGATTTTTTTAGAAAAATACTGTTACAGAATAAAAGTGCCAAGAGTTATTTACTTTCTTTTTGTTGCATTAAGGAAACAAAGAGCTGGCCATTTATTTTTCACTTTAATCTGGGACCACAATTTCAAATGGCATTGTACTTTCACAACACAAAATATGTGTCTCATTTCATCTCATCACTTATCTAAAGTCCTGTATTGCTATTATTGGGATATTGAAATAAATCATCTTTTTTTAAATCTGCAGACTATTCATGGTGGCGTTTTCAGAGGTGAAGCAGAAAAAAGCTCAAAAACGACAGAGACGTCATTGCCAGAAAACCTCCAACCAAGTTTAACCAAAGCCGGTAATGAGGCCTGTGTGAAGGAAATGGAGAACTCTACTGCACGAAAGTCCAGTGCTGAAGCTGGCATCAAGAATACCGGTTGGACCTGTGGAGTTTGTCTCCTCTGGGTCCCTGACAGAGAGACTTATGTCAGTCACATGAAGACCAGCCATGGCAAGGTGAGACCCTTTTAGTGAAAAAGCAAATGATTAACCTGGGATTTTGTATCTGATTGATTTAGTTTGTGATTTAAGATTGTTTTACATTTGAATATTGCTGTGTATTTGCAGTCTTTAAAGAGGCAACCATGTCGATTATGTGAAAGGTCTTTTAATTCACCTATGAGTCTTAAACGACACATTCAAAATGATCACAATGGGAAAAAGAAAGTTTATACATGCTGGTAATACCCCTATATTATTATTATTATTATTATTATATATTGGGAACTATATTAATAGTACACTTTTATATCTGTCTTTATAAATTCTGAAGGTACTGCACAAGTGAGAGGATGTCCTTCACTGAACACTCTTTGCTAAAGAATCACATCAGTTTGATGCATGGAGTCAAGAACCCAGATTTCAGCCAGATGGCAAAGCTAGAATCTCAGGAAGTGGGCAAAATCAGAAGCGAGGTAATCCCAAAATGTTCTTCATGTGCAGCATGGTTGTCACTGTACCTATTTTTCAGTTACATTTTTGGAACCAAAATACCAATATCAAAGTTGTGTCTAAAGCCTGTTTCACAACACAAACGTGAGCAGAGCGCGAGCAGCGCATGTTTTTTCAGCAAGAATGTTAACAGTCACACTTAATTAAAGTGACAGTGCATTGATAATGACCAAAAACACTGTCACATTAAATGACTCAGTAATATAAATGCATATAAAAATCCAATAAATGCATCAGTAATATTCACTGATATAGTCAATCAAATGAACTTAAACGATTAAAAACTGTAACAAATATTCATTTAGGCCTGTACTACAATACCAAATGTAAAACAATTTTAGTAATAGTTTTGCTTACTAAGTTGCACATTAGTTTGATCATATATAAATATAATTATAACTATAGGCCTACATCATCCTGACAATCAAAAACAAAATGACATGATATCACAGGCGATTGTCTTCTGAGTGCACCAGACATGAATGACACTCCTCATAGAGCTTGAGAAGCCTACAGTATTGTATGATGTATATAATTTGTAAAATAAAGACTCGCAGGTTAAGGAAACAGCATAGAAAGAAGTTGCTGCGGGCCTTGGTGCAGATAAAAAGTAAAAAAATAGTGTATTTTTATATATATATATATATATATATATATATATATATATATATATAGAGAGAGAGAGAGAGAGAGAGAGAGAGAGAGAGAGAGAGAGATGAATAGACAGCAATATATTGATATGTGCAGCAGCTGCCGACGAGCTTTGCACTGCAGACACGGTCTGGTTTGAAACAGGTGTAAGGCTGCATTTACACAGCAGATCTTGATGGTCAATTCCGATTTTGTGACTGTATCACATTTTTTTGCTGACTGGCTTATATCATCTTTTAAAAGGGACTCGTATCCGATTGTCTGCATTTACACAGCACAAGGCAAAGGCGCAATGACTGGAAAAAAATAGCAGGCACTGACTGACTGATAAAAAAAAAGCAATCTTTTCTCAATTCCTGCATTTAGTCTGTTTGCATGGTTTCATTTTTTAATTATTTTTTTATTTTACTATAGTTTATGACAGATAAAGTTATTTTTCAATCAAGACCTTTTTAAACCAGTAGGCATCTTAATGTAATGTCCATGGCGTGATTTATGCAATGCAAAAAAAAAGAAAAATAGGATAAATATATTTGAATATATTAGACACATATCTAATGCTTGTATTTTCACCAGCTCCACACCCACAATTTCACACACTGGGTTAAATTAAGCTTTGCAGGCTTCGTGTTCAGTTTATCATTTCCAATGTATCAGTTCAGCTAAGGGAACAGAACTAACCCCTGCGAAGTCAGACACAGCGATATTCCAAGATGGTAGCGCCCTGGCGCTAAAAGCTATAGTAAAACATGGCGTTTTCTTAAAATTTATTACATTAATCGATTTCGTTATATATTTTCATGAAGTGGAAACCAATTTACAAAATAATGTAAACTTGACTGACTGCTTCACTTCCACTTTAAGGCACTTTATGTTGTACGTTTAAGATAACTAAATTTAGCAAAGTACAATTCCAGAGGAAAAACTTCTCAATTATAGTAATTTCAGTATTTATAGTTTATTACTTTACATCATCTAGTTTCTGCAAATCTGTTATCGCACCTGGTGAACAGTGGTGAAGCGTTCACATTCAGAGCTAATCACAGTCATATCTGTTGAGCACAGAAACTCCAAATAACAGTGTTTAAGGACATGCTCAAATGTTATTGTAGTGGATACTTTTGACAACCCTAATTGGACATGTGATGTTTTAAAATTAGTTTTTTTTGTAATCAATGCTTTTATACTTTTTTCATTTTTAGAGGCCAAAAAAGAGAAGAGCAGAACACCCAGATGGAGTAAAAGGAAATGGAGAAACATCACACAACACCCCATCTAAGCGACATAAGCCACTTTATCGATGCGCCAAGTGTGGCTTTACCTCTGAAGCCCAGGCCCAGTTTCAGGAGCACATACCTCAACACAAAAGCGACAGCAACACACCCCAGTGCCAGCACTGCGGCCTTTGTTTCACGTCTCAGCTAGCACTCAGCAGACACCTCTTCATTGTACATAAGGTCAAAGAACCAGAAGAGCATGAAGACTTTAAAGATGGGAAAGAACGAGAGATCTCGACAGACTTGAGCGATGAAACTGTACCTCTTTTGCGAAATAAAACTGGCCTGTCCACAGCAGAGGAGCAATTAGGACTCCACAATGTGCCCACAGACACTGATTACAACACACAGACATCAGAAAACAGTGGACTAGAAGATAAAAAGGCCTGAACAGAAGAAACGACTCTTATGGAAAGCTGCTAATCAACTTAATTGCAAGCAAATGATTACTGATTATGCAGCTAATAATTGTGGTACTGCAAACATGTTGCCTTACAGTGAAATTCTATATTATCTCATGTCATATATCGCATATATGAAATAATGTTTAAAACGTCGCATTATTTGGATTAACTTATCTGTTCATGCAATCATTTTTTTTATATCTGTACATCCTATATATGTGGATAATCATAATTTATTATTGTGTAATGCAAAAGCATCATGTCAGTGTGTTATAATGTTTCTGTTCACGTACCATGTCAAATCTGTCTTGGGTCCATTACAATGCAGGAAGTGTTATGTATGTTACATATTGTAGCCATAAGCGAGGCAGTTGTAATATGTCGGCTGTTTTCAGGGTCACCAAAAAAAGAATCGAAAACCGTAGATGGTCATTTTTGGTGGTGTATATGCTGGTTTTGAAGGAGAAAGGCATGTCTGATGATGTTTGTTTTATATTTATTAGGTAGCGTGCTTGTATCACGAAGCTAAACATCTGTAACAGTATTGCTACTTCGGAGATTACATTATTCTGAAAGGTATTCACTTAAACCCAGGTATCTGCACTCAGAGAAAGTATATTTTCATATTCATTCCATGTAGAATTACTAGTTTCAATTACGTTTATATTCAATGAGCCATTCTTACAATCAAATTTAGCACTTTTGTAAATGCTTGAATGGAAAAAAAATACATATTAAAGACATCAGAGACTCAACTTTAGAGTTGGCTTTACTCGATTTTGGGGGCCTTTAAAATGTCAAATATAACATTACTACTAGTGTTTCATAATTATTATAACAAAATATGTTCTATAATATGTAGTGTTGCAATATCAAGTTAGTTCCAGTGTCTCATGAATAGTTATTAGCAGGAAAATAACAAGTAAGTTTTATAGATTACATGTTAAAACTAGAATGAAAATGATATAAAGGTTTAAATTGATATTAAATGTTTATGTGTGAGACATTTAAATTCTGACTTTCCTGAAATGTGTTTTGTTTAGTTTGACTAAATGTTTAGAGGAAATGGACCACAGAACTCACCTGAAAGCCTATACAAAACAGCCAGGGTACATTTGCACTGTTACAGTTCTATTAATGCATGCTCACCTTTTTTTATAACAAGCTTGTTTTAAACATGTTTAAAATCTATAAACCATACAGTTTTTTATGCTACTAGTACTTATTCATCAGCTACTAGATTATTAGTTATTTAAGGGTAAGGGTATCTATAAAATGGGACTAGTACTTATTCATAAGCTACTGGAACTTACACTAGTGCCAATTAAATAGATACTGTAAGTTCAGTATTTCAATGTTCATTTTTACATTACCTTAACTTTTTTGCCTAAAGAGATCTAGGGTAACACTTTACGTACTATTACTACTTGCTTAATATTAGGTTATTAGATGTTTATTAGTTCTTAATTACATTACATTCAATGACATATTCTGCATGACCTTATTTCACATCTCTAATATGAAACTACCTTAGTATCTATTAATAAGCAGCAAATTACAAGACAAAGTTCATATTTAATGGTTTATTAATACCTATAAACTGTAGGCTACTTTAAAATAAAGTGTGACCTAGATCTGTCATTGAGGTTTCAACTATTACATTTTGACTAGTTCACATCAGGTTCATATTCATCACTACTGTTAGACAGTTATTTTATAAGAATTTAGCTTTTTGTACTTATTGGACTAATTATTACTAATTTGGGCTGATAATTAGATAGATGGCATTTATTTAAATAGTCACTGGCCGTTTCACACAAAACATAAAATTTTCACTGGTCCGATACAAATTGTATAATAAATATTTATACAATTTTACAAAAAATTACAAAAAGTAATAAAACATGCTTCTCAGGGACCCATCACTCCAAATAATGTAGCTTAGATGTAGACAAAAATCTATAGGCACAGGTCCTTAATAAATAAGCACTAATACCTAATCAATAAATACTAGTGCGGAATAAATAAAAACGAGTACATTTTTATTATGTAAAAATGTCAAATTAAGAACTGGTATAGCATCTAAGAAAATCAAAAATTATACCTAATGAATAACTATTAGACATACTGAAATACATAGTGAGAGCTGAATAGTTAATATCTCAATAACATATATTGTGTATATAATGTGTTGATAACGGTTTATCTAACGTGCCATGGAAGAAACTCTGTTTGAAAAAGAAACGATAACCCATCATTGCCACCTTTCTACTGGTGTCACCCAACACTTCTTTTTTGGTGTCCCCCAACACCCCTCCTTTCTCTTACCGGAAGTAACGCAACCAGAAGAGCCGCCGCGTATCCGCTAACTACAGCAGTAGCGGCAAAGCGTTTGCAACAAAATCTAAATTTTGCAATTGTTTTGATTGACTTTTACCAGTCATATTTAATCTGCAGACAACATGTTATCATTAGACTTTCTCGACGATGTACGGCGAATGAATAAGCGTCAGGTATGTGTTTATTTAGCCGGTTAGCTCGGCGCTTCCTCTACACTCTTTACTACACGTCAGCCTGAATGACAGCGGCTTTAACGTTTCACACATATATATTCTCCATTAGTGCTCTTTATATTGAGTTGTACTTATCCAAAATGGTTTGAATGACTTTATATATAATGCTGTTTTGTGCAGGTAGAGAAAATAATATAAACGGAAGTCGCTTTTTGTAACAGCTGCTATTCTGTTGTTCCCTGCTAACGTTAACTGTTATACAGTAGTTTCACTTTAAGCCACTGCAAAACCATTAATCTGAAATTTTTAAATATATAATCTTTGCAAACAAAAAAACTTAATCTCACTAAGAATGAGAAAATGATGCCTGGAGACAGAAATAGGCTTCTGAGTATCATGCCTTGTGTCTTTCAGCTTTATTATCAGGTGCTGAATTTTGGGATGATTGTATCTTCAGCCTTGATGATTTGGAAAGGCTTGATGGTTGTAACTGGAAGTGAGAGTCCGATTGTTGTTGTTCTCAGGTAATGTGATCTTGCTCTTATGGTTTACCTGATCCATTGTTGTACTTGGTAGTAATTTTATGAATATTAAAGCTCATTTTTATTTATTTAAGAAACTAAAAGCCAAAATGTCATTATGGGTTAATAGCAAAAACAAACTAGGAAAGAAATTAATTATATTTGCAGTTTCTTCATGCATGTAGCTTGCTGCATTAAAGGACAGATCTGTAGAAAAGTTACTGATTTTAGAAAGATGTATTATGTTAACTTTACAGTAGGGCTGCACAATATTGGAAAATTTAGCATTGCATTAATTATTTTTTATTTTGCTATATACATTGCGATGTAAATACATTTCACCAGATAACTTTATATATCGTTATTTGGGAAGAATGTATAATGTGAGATCGATTAAGATGATTCTGCTGAGGGAGTGCATATCCCTAAAAATCTTAAAAACAGTTTATAACTTTTTAGGTCCCTCTACGTTTTTGTTTCAGTCTGTATTATTTGCAGTGCATTTCTGTATTTTGCATGTGTTCTGAGTATTTTCATGCATAACGATCTATTAATGCAATCAAGAAAAATATACAATTTAAAAAAGAGTTTTGTTGTTAAAATCACAAAAGGTACATTTTTTTATTCCTGAATGCTTTTAATGTCATTATCCAATTACAGGCATTAAAACACATGCAAATGATAAATTATAATACAAACCTAACATTGAATATTCTGCTATGTGATTATTGCGAATGAACACTTGGCCATATATTTTCCTCATTTTATTTGTTACAGCCTTATTCCAAATTGGATTATATTTATTTAATTCCTCAAAATTCTACACACAATACCCCATAATGACGATGTGAATAAATATTTATTTGAAATTGTTGCAAATTTATTACAAATAAAAAAACTGAAAAATCGCATGTACATAACTTTTTACAGCCTTTGCTCAATAATTTGTTGATGCAGCTTTGGCAGCAATTACAGCCTCAAGTCTTTTTGAATATAATGCCACAAGCTTGGAATGCCTGTTTTTGGTAATTTTTGCCCATTCCTCTTTACAGTAGCTCTCAAGCTCTATCAGGTTGGATGGGAAGTGATGGTGTACAGCCATTTTCAGATCTCTCCTGAGAAGTTCAAAAGAATTTAGGTTTGGGTTCTGGCTGGGTCACTCAAGGACATTCACTGAGTTGTTGTGAAGCTACTCCATTGATATGTTTGTGATGTGCTTTGGGTCATTGTCCTGCTGGAAAAGTCTCCCGGTCTGAGGTCAAGAGCACTCTGAAGCAGGTTTTCATTCAGGATGTCTCTGTACATTGCTGCATTCATCTTTCCCTCTATCCTGACTAGTCTTCCAGTTCCTGCTGCTGAAAAAACATCCCCAGAGCATGATGCTGCCCCCACCATGCTTCACTGTAGGGATGGTATTAACCTGGTGATGAGCGGTGCCTGGCATTCACACCAGAGAGTTCAATTTTAGCCTCATCAGACCAGAGAATTTTATTTCCTATGGTCTGAGAGTCCTTCAGGTGCCTTTTGGCAATTTCCTGGTTGGGAGTGGCCTTCGTCTGGCCACTCTACCGTACAGGCCTGATTAGTGGATTGTTGCTCGGATGGTTGTCCTTCTGTAAGGTTCTCCTCTCTCCACAGAAGAATGCTATAGCTCAGTCAGTGTGACCATCAAGTTATTGATCACCTCCCTGACTAAGGGATCCCCCAATCATACAGCTTAGATGGCCGGCCAGCTCTAGGAAGAGTCCTGGGGCCTCATGTACGAAGACTTGCGTAGAAATCATACTAAAACATTGTGTACGCACAAAGCTGTAAATGTGCATACGCAGTAAAAAACGAAGAGAAAAAAAAAGTGGGAGAGTTTAGCTGATGCGGTTAACACAGTTGGGTCTGAACATCACACTGAGTAGATTAAAAAAAGAAATAGTGCGATGTAAAGCTGTAAAAATTTT